CTTCAGTGATTTTAAAAACATCTGGAATTTTTTAATTTAAAAAAATAGACCATAATTAGGAAAACCAGAGTTCTGAAAACCTCAGAAAGGCAGCTTGGGCTATTTACCCTGAGTATCTTGGCTTAGCAGGAAATTTGGAAGCAATTAGAAAATACAAAGTCATCTATTGATGGGATACCTGAGATCACAGCTTTATTCATCACCACAGATGACTTGTTTTGGCTAAACTAGTGCATCGTATACAAAACCCAATGGTTTTTCCAGGAGCACATTGGGGGGGAGGACAGGAGGGAGGGAGGATGTCACTTAGTATAGATGTTGAATTTTATTCACGCTTTCATTTTCAAACCAATGCCCATGGATCCAAACCACAGACTTTGCGCTGCAAGGAAGAAAAGCACTGGACATCTCCAACCCACTTCAAAGCTGCTTGATGCAGAAACAGACCGAAGGTGTTTGGTAGGAGGTGTCATGAAGGGGTCACCACCTCACTTTCTCCTGAGCTACAAAGTCATTTCTGCCTGAATTATCTGAACGATGTGATCTATGATTGCCAATTAAATCAATTCAAACCAATCCCTTGTATCATAGGGAAGAAGAGGGCAAATCCAGCTGTGAAACATGAGAGAATGGAGACTCTGCCACTTAGATTCACACAAAAGAAAACATAAAACACATCAGAAGCTGGAGAATTCTGGGCAAGAAGGTACTTTACATTCTGTGGAAATTTTTTTTCTAAATTCCAGGAAAACACTTGGAGCTCTGGCCTCTGGAAACAAATGCAAATGGTAAGGTAGTTTTAAAACTGTGCACAGGAGATGCTCAGACAGAAAATTCAGGTCCAGGAGTTGGTAACAGGATTTATGCAGTAATGCCAACACACTGCTGGAAATGTACCCACTCAAATAGCCCTGGAGTGTACATCTCAGCCTAACGGGTCTGGAGCTCAGCTTTTCTGCTTGGGATTCCTGGGTGCTTAATGACAGAAATGATACTCTTTGGTAGCAGTAGAGATGTGTATAGCCAACCCAAATACAGACTATCCTTCCAAAGTGTTGTAAGTGAGGGAAAAGTAATCCTTAAACCAAAATATCACCAGGCTATTTAATGATTCTTCAACTGTTATACACACAACAACAAATAAATGAAGGATTAGATAGTGTCTCCATGTGCCGGCAAATTCTTCTCATCCTTTCCTTACCCAAAGAAAGGGCAGACCTAAGGCTGTTTGGATTAGCACAGTGTGCTGCGACGGTGGGTCCTTTCCAAAGCACTGCCCTTTGTGTAATCTGATTGCAGCAGAAAACACATGTAAATGTTTTGCTCCTTCTTTTTCCTAGTGGAGAAGATATCTTGATTAAGAAGCAATGCCGAGGATTGTGGACAAGAGGAGGCACAAGCAGTTTCCCGCACAGGTGTTAATAGGTGCCAAGACTGTCAAATGAAGTATTTGATTTAGTATAGTGGCAGGAGACAGTTATTGCCACGCACACCTACAATCACATCTCTAGTACAAGTGAACTTGACTCCTGCCATTCCCATGCAATGGCAGTATGCGCTAAAGTGGAGCATCTCTGTCTCAGCACAAGTCAGCATTGCCGCTTCCTCCTTGGACAGTACAGCTTCCTTGAGTCTGTCTTCTTGCTAGAGATGATACCCTGCTACTAAATTCATTTCTGGTTCTCCTCTTTGCCAAGTGCATCGAATCTGTGCAGGGAACTGGAGATCTACCTGGAGTGCTAACCATCCTGCCAGTAGTCTGACTCCCCCAACTCCTGCCTCTCATGCCTGGCGCCTCCCTATAGCTAGCGTGTCATATGTGTGAGCATATTCTGATACAAAGCCAGGGTTGGAATTTGGATTCCTACTTGCTATACCAATCTGCTTCATTGGCTATCCCATCTCCTGCTGTGCCACGTTAGACCACTGGCCCCTTTAGCCCCATACCTTGTTTATGTATCACTGGAAAGGTGCTTAATGCTTTGCAGATGGTGAGAATACAAGGTCTCTGTCTGGACATCTGACACCTACATTCGATAATGTACAGAAAAAGGGGGACGGGAGGGCTGTGCCATAAAAGCCCAGGGATGGAGCTATGGGTATGTTTGGTAGTTGGCGTTAGACCACTGGCCCCTTTAGCCCCATACCTTGTTTATGTATCACTGGAAAGGTGCTTAATGCTTTGCAGATGGTGAGAATACAAGGTCTCTGTCTGGACATCTGACACCTACATTCGATAATGTACAGAAAAAGGGGGACGGGAGGGCTGTGCCATAAAAGCCCAGGGATGGAGCTATGGGTATGTTTGGTAGTTGGGATTGAGGGGTACCCAGCAGCTTGATAACTTGTGTTCCAGGGGAAGAGCATTCCTTCCCCTAGGAGAAGAGGAAAGGTGTCCATTTGGGGAAGGGCACCAGGATGTACTCTGCTTCCCAAGGGCAGCCTAAAGGGACACCTTGATCCCGGGCCAGGATTGGCAGCACTCACTTTCCGTCCACAGGGCAGGAGGGCCCCTATGGAAAGGAAGAGGCCAGACATAGTCCTCAGGATAGCTCAGCAGGATGGAAAATGGCAGAGAAGATGGATGAATGTGTTATTGTTGCCCCCTGTGGCCCCTCTAGCAGCTACTCACAGTTTGGGGCTTGTGCATGTTTCAGCTGGGAATTGAAATCTCTGGTCATTCAGTATTTGGGTGCTGCAATTTTGTTTATTGATAAATAACGTACAAAGCTGGCTGGCTGTGGCCAAATAGCAAGAAACCGCTTCTTTTGCTCGCAGCACCACAAATGCTCTTTCTAGCCTGCACCTTTGCCCAAAACCTCTACCAGGATTTTTCCAGGGTCCTTCGAGCTGTGTCGCTCCCTCAGTCTGTTATTGTCTGACGTCAGTTTCTGAGATCTCTCTCTGCACATATTCTACGGTTCACATATACCTTGGCTATGTCGATACTTATGCAGAAGTTTGAATTAAGATGGACAACTCCAGCTGGTATGTATGGTCATGCCAATTTTCTTCCACAATTTGATCTGAGGAATTGGGTCTGGCCCACGAAAGCTTGTCACCTAATAAACCATCTTGTTAGTCTTTAAAGTGCTGCATAGTCCTGTCTTTTGTTTCAGCAAGACCAGACTAACATGGCTACATCTCTATTACAACTCCAGCTACGTTATTTTCAAGAGGCCAATGGGAGCAGTGTTGATCTTCTGGGAAGTGAAGACCTTAGCTTCAATGGCACACAGCTTGCGGCAGTGTTAGCTGAAGGGTGAGTTCACAGGTATTAATCTCAATGGGTTTTTAATCAACCCAGCTCATAACATTAATTTCTAGCATCTATTGCCATTGCCATTCAGGGTTCCCAATATAAAAAAAAAACTTTAAACCCTACATCAGATCACCCAACCTCACCAGTGGCCCTAGATGTGACATGCTGTAGCTAGGGTTCAGTACCTCACCCCAGCTACCTGGCTGCATGTAGAGCCTTTATGGACAATGCTAGTGGAACACAAGGCTGATGACTCCATGTTCTGTGGAATCAATGTGTGTGAATCTGCCCCTACCATGTTAATGAGTCCACACCCCTGACAGCCCCATGAGGAAGACCCAGCAGGCAGAAGAGCCTCTCATTGCACGGGTGTCTCTGGGCTCTGTTCTTGGGAGGAAAGGGGGGTTGTTTGAGTTCCTTCGTGTTGTTTTCTTGAGGAGCGGAGAGCCTGCTACCTGCACATCCCGAGGGTGCAATGACACCTTGCTGCTCTCGCATACATCTCAAAGCCCAGGCCAGGCTTCTCTACACCCCACAGCCCTACAGGTGGACGGCCCTGCCCTATGTGGTATCTATGGTAAATCAACAAAGGTCAACAAAATGGGCCCAATGTCAGCAATGTGCTAATGGTATGTCCTTATGCATCCTCTTCATCAATCCCTGCTGGACTCACAACCCGGTGGGAGAGCCTGGCCCTTCAGTGAGCTGCATATCCCAGGTGTGAGCTGGTTGTCTTCCAGGGGCTGTTACTGGGGGGCTGGGCCTGGCTGTGCACTGCTAGTGTTAATGGGGTGGGAGTGAGAAGGGGGTAAAGCAGCTCATCTTGGATGGCTGTTTGGTTTTTTCCCCCCAAAGATGCTGTTTGTATTGATAGATTTTTGGATGATGCGCTAACAAAAAAAAAAAAATCAATGTCCCACTGATTGTACCAGGAAGGGCAGTCGATTGGTGAAAAAGCTGCAGCAGGCATATTGGGAAATAGATTTTTCTGCCCTCCAGACATTAGCTTTAAATTCTTTGAAATGAGGGGAAAACAATCTGTGTCAGAAATGAAAAAGTAAGGAAGTTAATGTGTGCCTCTTTTTCCACTTTTTATTGTTGGTTTCCAGGATGCTTTTGGAGCTGCATGGGGACCTTGACCAGTGAGTTCCATTTGCAGGTCCTGTTTTATCTGCCTCCCTCTGGCTATGTCCACACTACAGAGTTTTTTTGGAGCTTCCACACCTCCAGCAGGTTTTTGCACAAAAAACTCAAAAGAACAAAAGGGTTTTTCTGGCATAGGTATTCCTCATTCTATGAGGAAGAACGCCTTTTCCGAAAGAGCTCTTTTGCACAAAGGTGTGTGTGGATGGGGAAGAGGGCTTTTTTGCGCAAAAACAGGAAAGAGGAAAAAGCACAGGTGCCCTGGTGGCCATTCTGTGGATAGATATCAGAACTTACTTTTGAGAGAGTGTCCATACAGTGTGGACGCTCTCTTTCGCAAAAGCGCATCGCTTTTTTAGAAGAACTAGAGGACACCAAATGAAATTAATGGGTAGCAGGTTTAAAACTAATCAAAGAAAGTTCTTCTTCACACAGAGTGTAGTCAACCTGTGGAACTCCTTGCCAGAGGAGGCTGTGAAAGCTAGGACTATAAGGGTATGTCTACACTAGCCACCCTAGTTCAAACTACGGTGGCTAATGTAGTAATTCGAACTTGCAAATGAAGCCTGGGATTAAAATATCCCGGGCTTTATTTGCTTATTCCTCCCTGCCCACGGCATGGACTAGGTAGTTCGAACTAAAGCCCCTACTTCAGACTACCATTACTCCTCATTGCCTAGCCCATGCTGCGTGTAGCCGCAGGCAGGGAGTCCGAACTACGGGGCATTTAAAAATGGTGGCGCCCAGGAACATGCAAATAAAGCCCGGGATATTTAAATCCCGGGCTTCATTTGCAAGTTTGAATGACTTCATTAGCCACCCTCGTTCGAACTAGGGTGGCTAGTGTAGACATATCCTCAGGGAGGGCAGAATTTCAGTATATTAATCTATAGATGTGTCAACCCGGGGAAATACACATTCCTCAGTGTCCCCCAGCCTAAGTGCAGGGGCCTCAGCGGTTCTAAGTAACCCATCACTACATGCAGTAGATACAGCTGCTTGAGAACACTGTTGACATTTTTGTTGCTGAGGGCAGATGTGGGGCAAAGGGTTCTGTAAGTTTGTTGTTGAAAGCTGCAACAACCTAGTATTTTCAAAGGGGCTGCTCTTTGAGGTCATTTGCTCTAGGGCAGTAATGAGCAATTATTTAGGGGGAAAACAACATGAAGCATTTGTGAGCTCCTCAGTCCTTAAAAAGGTTGATAGGCAATAGACACACGTGCACACACGTTCACAACCCCCCACTTAGCCACCCAGGGCAGTCTGCTCAACCTGGAAACAGTGAGTGCCCAGCATCTGGTGAGCTCCCTTGGTTATCAGCTCTCCCAGGGAAAAGCAGAGCAGGAAATTTAATGCTGTTTTTTTTTTTTCTGCTTTGGATAATTGTGCCTCAGCCTTTCCAAACAAAATGCCTCTCTCTACCTTTCTTTCCTGTGGGACCACTTGTACCCAGTCCTTTGGGTGGTCTTTTATTGCAGGTTTTTATCCATGCTGTGGTTTGACTATAGGCATGTCTCCAGAGAACTGAAAAACTTCTGCTTGCTCTGTCCTGCTGTAGAGAGAAAATGGAACTCCCAGAGCCTTACTGAGATAAAATAAAAAAGAGGGAAGAAAATGAAGAAACCTTAAATAACAGGAGGGCTTTTCATCCCCAACGAGCTGGAGGTTTGATTTCTACTTGCTTTTGGCAGCTGCCTGCATGAGATCCTTGTAAACATGTGCACACTACAGAGCCATGCATACATTGGCTTGCAAGCACGCCTGTGTAGAATTACCACTCTAGACTGCCTGATCCTGCTGATGGGGTCACATACCTGGGCAGGGCTCTTTGAACACAATTTTCACTTTCTAATCCTGACTGCGCCATTAAGAGAGTCAAAGGTGGAAAAGGCTTGTTGGATCCCACCAAGAGAAGAGACTGCTATCCATGCTAGATAATCTAGTTCCTGAGACTTCGTGGGAGCCTAGTTCGGTCCAGGGGCTGTTCGCAAACTTTGGCCACACATATTTTACAAGGTTTTGCCAGCATAGAAACGTTTGGAAGTATGGAAAAAATCACCTCCTTGAGTCATTGCTATACCAGCAAAACCCCAGCTTCAGACGCAGCTGATACCAGCATAAGACTCTTGTTCCCAGTGTGGCTCATGTTGTCTGGGGAGATGGTTTGACTATACCATCAGAAGAATGCCTTTTGCTGGTATAAGCTGTGTCTCCACTGGTGGGCTTTGCTAGTGTAGTTGTAGCCCTTAGTCTTGTAGGCTGAATGGCTTGATGAAAGCAACTGGACAACAGAGAAATCTGCCTGAACATTGCCGCTGCTTGACACCGTCATCTGCAAACCCCTTTTGCAGGGGAAAGAGGCTTAGGGAAGCATGCCTGTGCTGAGGGATCCCGAGGGTAGCTGTAGGGTCATGGGGTTGGAAATCCCGAGAGTGTCTATAGGGCAATCCACATGGACACCCATACCACACCAGGGGCCTTTGCCATATCTCCTCTCTCAGTGACTTGACAGAAGTCTGTGAGGACAGGCTTTGCCCGTTTCTTACAGGGGAGAAACGTGTGGTCTCTGGCATTTTGCCTTCCAAGGACATTGTCTTCAGTCACTTTTGTTATTTTCAGCCACTCCTCCCCTAGAAATAGGCCAATTCCACCTCCAGGAGCTCATAACATAAGAACAGCAGACTGGGTCAGACCAAA